TCGATCTCGATAATAAAAGAAACTTAAGTAAATAACGCAAATATGAAATGCAGTAAGTATCATTTGCCTGAGCAAAACAATACGTAATTAGTAGACAATAATTAAAAGATAAGAATTTAAAGGAAGAAAAAATAAAATATAATTTATTTAGCGCACTTTGTACACTTATACGCCGATTTGAGTAGTTTAAAATCCATTTATGGCATTCAAGGATAAGTGAAGAACGTTGTTTCATGTCGATGTTCATGGAGTGCACAAAAAGGGTCAATGAAATGTATCAATAATAATTATGAACTATTATGTGCTTAATCAAGGATAACAAAATGGATTATTAATCCTAATATCTTAATTTTAGATAATTTCGTTTGTCGTTCTCCTACATATCTCATTGTGTTTTCAAAGTGTATAACAAGGAAGTCGTGTCCATCCATACTTAAAATACAATTTAAGCGTGAAAGAAAGGTTGATATATCGGTCGAAGAGACACGAGCGTAAGCTGTGAAGTCAGATTTCGAGGATGATTCGTATTATATTAAAGTTTTAATGATACATCGTATCAAGTAACCAATGTCGATGTAGCTTGCGCAATAATAAATAAGATATAAAGATCAGGTACGGACGGTAGCTAATGTTATAATTATATATAAAGAATAATGAGTATATACACACTGATATTACGCATACATAAAACTGTACATATATATATTGTTGTCAGTTGAATGTTAAAATAAATACCGGGCGTAAATGTGGATTTCTTATTATATCGATTTTCTTAACTTTTTAAGAGATAAAATTTAGTTTTAAATTCAGAATAATATATTCATATTAATAATATTAATACATAATATTATTTTAATATTTACATAAAATATCATTTAAAATAATATTCGCAAAGTATTATTTTATAATTGATATCAAGATCTTTTCATTTTGATCACTAAAACTAAGGATATAAAACGTTTCTTCAGTAAATAAAAGTATTCTTCAATCTACTATACAAACAAAATACAAAGAAATTCGTACAAAACGAAACCATATCGAAAAAAATTCGATGCTGTTGCAATTTCTTTATAAATAAATATTTTTATGTAATTTCTTGGTTATATATCGAACATCTGCCAAAATTCAATCTTTGGAACACGAAATATGTTAAGAATATAGGAAATAGAAATTATTTAAATACACCGCTGACAATAGAATATTATACAGTAAATCATAAAAACTATCATAAAATGCAGAAAATATATATTTACGTACTTTTTATGTCGGTGATCAAATCGCTTCGATGAATCATAGTTTTCAGTTTCCTAAAAATTTTTCATGGTTTCATTACAGGCGAAACGAGATGTAAATGCGCTTTAAAGAAATATACACATATATTCCGTTTTAAAGAAATGCGTTACCAGTAAACAAGATACGAAACAAATGAAAAGATATTCTTGAGTTAGATATCTGCGAAGTATAAGTAAATGACTATGATTGGTTGAAAATGTGCGCGAAAGTATGCCACCTGGTAGTGAAACAGAATAGTAAAAATACGCGCGAAAAAAATTAAAAATTTAACAGTTTGTATTAATTTTTATTATCTTATTACTTATTTCTCAAGTAGTATATTTCTAATTACAGTTTATAATATTTAATACACATTAGTATGTTCAAAAAATATCCACTTATAGTAGAAAAAATGCAGTAGTCATTTTAACACATTATATGTACTATTACAAGGAGAATATTAATGCCCAATAATTACATAAATTAAAACTAATATTTTAGGAATTATCATATTAAATGATCTCTTACTCTACTATAGCAGAAAATAATTTCAGATACATACATATGTACTTATTCGCATACATTTATCGACAGTTCATCAATAAATTCCATAAATTTGTAGAATACACGTGCTCTTATAGTTTGCAGTGTTTAAAATTAAAATTATAATTTTCTGCAATTATTGATTTCATTTTATTTTATTCCATTTCATTATTTCTGATTTATGCATTAATTATAGCGCAATTATTATAAATTCAATCATTCAATATATGATAAATTTTAACCTTAGCTTTAATTTGTATCTTATATCTATAAATAAACTTGTTATTAATTACATGTTTGACATTGACCTTTCATAATGTTTTTTATTTCTCGTTTCCTAAATAAATAGTTGCTTTTGGTAATAAACTTCATATTTCTGTGAGTTTATCAGAAAAAGGTTATGCTAAAAGTTTGTTTCACTCAATTAATTCGTACACGAAATATGAGTATATTTATCCAATGCCTGAATCCTTTAATTGGGACTGTTAATTGGGAGGAAAAGGATGAAAATTATGATTATCATCAAGAAGTTGCTAGATCAGCATTTGCTGATATGTTACATGACCATGAAAGAGTTAGTGCTATATATTATATAGTTCTAAAATAAGTTTTTACTTGTGCTGTTTATAAAATATTTTTATAATTACAGAATCAGAAATATTACCTAGCTCTTAAAGCAGCGATTGAGAAAAAACATAAAGATGGAGAAGAAGCTAATGTACTTGATATAGGAACTGGAACTGGTTTATTGTCAATGATGGCTGCAAGATGTGGAGCTGATAGTATAACAGCTTGCGAAGTGAATATTTTCACAAAAATTATTATGAATTGCATTTATAAATTAAAAACCTTTCATGTCCTGGCGGTATTTTTTAGGCTTTTACACCAATGGCTAAATGTGCTATAAAAATAATTCAAGAGAATGGTTTTGAAGACAAAATTAAATTAATACACAAGCGTTCCACAAGAATGACTATTGGAAAGGATGGTGATATGATAAAAAAAGCAAACATTTTAGTTACTGAAGTATTTGATACTGAACTTATTGGAGAAGGAGCACTTTCTACATTTCGGCATGCTCATGAAAATCTCCTTGAAGTATAATCTCATCTTTAGTTAATACAATTTTGAATAATATCATTTAATATGTATGCATTTTTACTTTATTCAAGGAAAACAGTATTGTGATTCCACATAGTGCCACCATTTGGGTACAAGTAGTGGAGAGTCCTACTGTATGCTCATGGAATACAGTACATCCTATCCAAAATAAAAGTAAATATTTACTAAGTACACCATGTTCTGTAAAATCTTGTTCTGGAGCAGCTGCAGTACATGATATACAGTTAACACAATTTCCTGATAATGCGTTCAAACCTTTATTACCTCCTCAGCCTATCTTTAGGTAAATATATGTTACATATGTATGTTAATTGTTCAAGATTGAAAAGACCTATTAAAAGATCGAAGTATAAAATGAATATTTTAGGTTCGATTTATCTGGTAAATCAACTCTATTATATAATGAAAAAAAGTGTTTGCATATAAAACCAACTACAAGTGGTACTGCACATGCTATTTTTATGTGGTGGGATTTAGTTATGGATGTAAATAATGAGGTATGTAATCGTTATTTATTAAAAGATTTTAAACCTATCACTAAATAGTCTTTATGTAGGTTTTGTTAAGCAGTGCTCCAGTGTGGGAACATCCAGATACAAAAATTTTACAAAATAAAGGTTTAAGTTTGCAAGAAATAGCAGATGTAATACCCTGGAGAGATCACTGGATGCAAGCTATTTACTATTTACCTGTTGAAACCTTAGTTACTGTTAACAAAGAAGTTAGCTTGATTGGATATCATGATGAATATTCATTATGGTTTCAATTAATAAATGAATCAATGTAAGCTGCTTTAACAATCTTATTATTTTGTTTTAGTTGTTTTACTTTTTCATAAGAATAAATACAAAGTCTTGTTTGCAGAAATGAAGCACCAGATTGTGAGAGACCTGTTTGCAGCTGTAATGTACACGTAGCTTATTGTAGAACTCGTATAGGACAATTAAATGATCATATACGAAATGAAAAATATATCAAAGCTCTAGAAAAAGAAGTTACACCTGACACAGTGTGTTTATGTCTTTCAGACGGCTCTCTATTGAGTCTTGCAGCTATTCAATTAGGTGCGAAAAAGATTTTCATCTTAGAGACAAACTTTTTGTCTCGAAAATGTATCGAAATGTTTGTTAAAACGAACGAGTTATCCGAGAGAGTAGAAATTGTTGAATCAGTAAACGATTTGCCTCCTGAAAATGCAATTAATTTAATTTTTGGTGAACCATATTTTATCACTTCAATTGTACCTTGGGAAAATCTTTACTTTTGGTATCTAGTTTCAAGGTATTCGCCTCAAATACAAAGAATTCCAATCGCAGCAACAATAATGGGCGTTATAGTTGAATTTAAGGATTTGCATAAAATACGAGCACCTCTTGGAATTTGTGAGGATTTTGACTTATCTATTTTTGACAAACTTATACAAGTAAATACAGCAACACAGATTATAAAATGATGAAAATTTAATTTTTATAATATTTAATTGTAATGTTAATTTTAATTATAATGTTTGTAGACATCAAGTGACAAAAGTGATAGTTCTGTAGAAGCTCAACCATTATGGGAATATCCTGCCAAAGCATTAAGTTTGCCTTTTGTTATTAAAAAATTTGATTTAACGCAAAATGTCAATGAATCTGAGAATATTAATATTTCAGAAAGTGTACCCATTTTAACGTAAGAGTTTGTGGTATTTTATGTTAATGGTTATTACAAAGTCGTGTTTACATTTTTTATATTTTTTGTTAATTTAGAAGTGGAATGTGTAATGGTGTAGCCTTATGGGTTGATTGGCAATTGAATTCCGAAATCACAGTATCATCAGGACCTACTGTAGAAGTACAATTTGGGAAACGAATATCATGGGACCCATTTACAAGACAAGGTGTACACCTATTTAAGGACATAACACAGGTTACACAACAAAGTACTGTTTTATGGTCATTTAGTTTTGTACCACGATACGGAAATATTACATTTGATTTTCGCATCTTGTCAAAAAATATGAAATAATATGATGTAATATTTATAAAAATATACTTTTAAATTAAAAATTTTATTCGTTTGTCTTATTTACCTCTTTGTTTTGTTTATTTTTTAGATATGCTTATAAAAATTACATATTTATTATAAAATATCTCCTTACAAAAACTATTACATAAAAAATGTTATGTAGATTCCTCTGGCAGTATACGTAATTGCTTAGCTAGTCTTCGTCCTATTAGTTTTGGATAAGCTTTCTGTTTAATTAGAAATTCTTTACTTTGATGAGTTACAGCACCATTTTCTAGTTGAAACCTAAAATTTTCATAATTATATTCTCTTTCTATATAAGATGTATTCTTATATTACACGAATAGAAATCTTGCCTGCAGAGATAATGTAAAGGTCCAAGCATTTTATTTTTTAATTCTAGATCACCTTCTAAAATGGAAAGAGCAAATGCACCAGTTTCAAGTGTAGACAAACAACCTTCAGTTGGTTGCGTTCTAATAACATATTCACTTGTTGGAATACCAACTAATTTACATGTTCGTAAAACACACAGTGCTGGACTTGAATGATATATTGCCTGTCACAAACAGCTTCTCCTTTATTCATTTTAGTATATAAATTGGCTAAGTTACAAGATACACTACCTTCGCTTGTGGCCAAGTTCCATCCAATAAAATAAGATTATAAGGTTTCTGTTCATTAACTCCAACAGGATTTAATTTATCAAGTGCTATAGCACCCGGAGATGGGTATAATAATATAGTATCTTTGTCATTTAAAATTTCAGTTAAGCCTTCATGTTTTGAAAGTGGAAACTTTTTTCCTCTAAAATAAAAGAATACCATAGCTTTATACATAACTACAAATTTTAATATTATACACCAATATTTTAAATAAATCACCTATAAATTACACATTTTCCAGGTTCTAAACCAAGAGCAAGCATAGGCGCAGTTCGTAAGCAACGTTTTGCTTCAGCTGGATGTTGTAAAATTATTATTCTTGATGCAGGACATACAGGATGCTTTGGTAATCCCGGACACCAACATACTGGTACAGGCCTTCTGTATATAACCCATTAATCAATTTTAATGGAATCAAAATGATATGTGAAATACATACATATATATATAATTGCTTAAACATAACCTAATTTCATATTTATACGTACTTGCATTGCGAACACTTATCTCTTGTCTCTGGAGGATCAGCAAGTATTTCTGATAATTCTTGCCATACAGTTTCTTCATTCATTCTAGTTATGATCTATAAAGATAAAAGAAACGATCAAACAACTTAATAATTGATAGAAGTACATGCATAACGAAAGGCGAGATAGTATTGATAGTATAAAAAAATATATATATACATATATATATATATATATATTAACGTTATTGTTTATAATAACATAATAGTTTCTTTAATACTAAACATCAATAAAACAGCAAATTAAATATATTCTATAATTATATTTCTTTTTACAACAAATAATTTCATATTTTTTTTCTATTGAATAATGAAAGTTTAAATTTCGCGTCTTTGTAGAATCGATAATCGATAGGATAACAAGTGATGCGAGAATCGCAAGCAGTTCAGCTTCCGGAAAAGTTTATTAAGTTTGAAAGTGTCGGTTAAGAGAGTTTTGCATTATTGCCGAAAAATTAAACAAAACGGTGAATAAAGCAGTGTAAGTATTTTGTATTCCATGTTTTTATTTCTTTTTAATGGAATTAGTTTCTGTTGCGCCCAGTTTTTTGGGCTATAGTCATTAAAGCAATGATATAAGATGCTCTTTAAGAGATTTGGTTTGTAAGCAAACTGTACTTTATTTCATAATATTTAATATTTTATTTTATAAATATTTGTGTTTTTTTGCGATTATAATCATTCAGAAATATGAATTAAAAAATTTTCTATAAATAACAAGTTAAATTTAATTAAAAAGTATATTCTATTCAGTTTAATATTTCATTATTTACATATATTCTAACAAGTACTTCCAAAATTTTTGTTTAGGCCTATCATTAGCCCAGAAAATCTTTACAATATCTAAACTGACGGTTTATTGCACGGTTTTGGGCGGAAGGAGTCACTAGTTGTACCTTGAAACAGGAATCTTGCTGTTGAAAATTTTGGCGGTAATGGTAAGTATAATACTAATCATTTATACGTATCGACTACGTATTGTTTGTGCATGATTACTAGTTTTACTTAATCCTGTTACGTTCTTTTAATTATTGTCCATCCAAGCGTATTTCTCTATCGTTAACAAATTCCTTAAACTTGAGGAAAATATGAAATAATTGTTACTGACATGCGTGATTTTTTATTTTAATTTTTTGATAGAAAATTTGTTAAAACTGTTTGTTAAAACAAGATTGAGATTCAGATATAAAAAGTTTAGGACTGTAGCAGGGTTAATTACTATTTGTAGTTCAATATAGATAACTAAAAGTCCTAAAGGAAGTTCGAAAAAATTTTAAATAAACTGCAAATACTTCGTAACTCTGTTATTAGCTTGAAAGACGTTATAAACTATATCAATGTCAATTACATGAAAGTGATTCTCTGTAATTGCTATCTTATTTACGTTATGTCGATAACGTTGGTAACGACATTAAAATGGTGGAAGCATACGGTTATGGTTTGATTTCTCTCTTCAATTATTTTATTTTTTAATGATTTTTTGTAATAAAGTGTGACAGGAAAACTATCAAATAGAAAATGTTTAAATTCGGATTTTCGGAAAATAAACAGGATGAAGGTACTTTTATATATTTCACTTCCCTATAGCTAATTAAAATTCTCAGCATCGAGAATTATTTTTGAGGTTATACTTGCGTTATACTTTCGCATATATGTAATTGTTGAACGCGATCCAAGTTTTCGTTGAATAAGAAATGAATAGAGCTATTATTTTAGTGAGAGGTGAAGATACTAAAAAATCAACAATCAATTGGATACCTGCCTCAAAGGTGGAGGTATCGGAATCGGAATTGCAAATCGAGAACCGATATAAACCTAATGATTACAGAGAATGTCTATTTTTTCCGGATTGCAAATTAAAATTAATTCGATTTGAAAGGGCGTTACACGATTTGCAAAAGAATAATTGTACAAATATTCTGGAGGCAGAATCGCAACATTCTGATCTTATTCCCGCTAAATACGAAGGTAGACTATATTTAATTTTCCTTAAAACAATATCATTTACTTTCTGAAAAAGTTTCGTCGCCATTAACGGCAGTAAAAAAATTGTTGAATTGTTCGATTTCTTGTATAAAGGTGGCTTAAAAATCTGGGAATGCTGTTACGATTTAGGCCAATACTTATTAAAAAATATCGAATTTCAAGATAAATTTGTTTTGGACTTAGGATGCGGTACCGGTATTATTGGCCTTGTTGCTCTTCTTAAAAATTCCATCGTTCATTTTCAAGATTATGTTCGTATTTATCATGATATGTTTATGATGTGACTTATAAAGTTGATTTTACGATTAATTACCATTGCAGAATGTAGAGGTAATTAAAACTGTAACGATCCCGAACGTTTTATTGAATTTTGAGGATCGAAAGAGCATATTAAATAGGTGCCAATTTTTTTGCGGTGATTGGGAATCGTTCACAAAATTGCGTGATTCTAACAATGGGGATGAATTCGTAGAATACGATCTGATTTTCACAAGTGAAACAATTTATAACCCCGATAATCATAAAAAATTGTACGAAGTTTTCAAACGCAGGCTCAAAGCGAATGGCGTTGGGCAAGTACAATTATTATCTAATCTTGGTTTCGACTTTTATGAGAGCACAATATAACATTGGCTCACGTGGTGTTCTTAGGTTTATTGCCGGTAAAAGTTATTATTTCGGTGTCGGTGGAGGAACGAGGCAATTTCAGGACCTAATAGAGAAAGATGCTATTTTTGACGTTGAGATAGTGTGGAGAAATAGAGAGGGTATTTTTCTAAACAAGCAACAATTATATATATATATATATAATTTATTTATATATATAGTTCATTTATATAGTTTAACGTATATGTAATTATATTTGTATATTATGTATATATATACATTTTTAGGATTGCAAAGAGAAATTCTAAAAATTACAAGGAAACAACAATCTTAGGCTGATTCAGAACTTATTATTCTAGAAGCATTATTCTTTTTCTAATTTGTAAAACAAAAAATATTATTTAATAAAAAAATATCCTTTCTTGTATTATCTACGGAGATAATCTTTCATAAACCCATCCGTCATCTCCCCGATGGAGTAATACGTTGTCGATTTTTTCGTTTGGCATAGGCCGTCTGAAATGAATTCTATCGTGTAAACGATCGCTTTGACCTTGCCAAAATTCTACGGAATGTGGAATAATGATATATCCTCCCCTAAAAATTAGATTAGATTATTATCATACATGACGCGTTTTTAATAATTCATCGAATTACCAGCAGTCTGGCCTTTTAACTTGACCCTTTGGGAACTGTGCCAGTAATTCTCTTTCTCTCACAATAAGCGTCTCTCTACTCGCGATCACACTACTTTGTTTACTAGACATTGATCCTATTTGACACGAATATGGTCGGGTTTGGAAATAATGATCCGAGTCTTCTGGAGAAGTTTTTACTGCTCTGCCTTCCATACGCACCTAATAAAAAAATTCGTTCAACATTTTCATCAAACATAATTTCTTACTTCAATATTATAATAATATGCTAATAATTTGTAAACGTTAATTTAAGATAATATTTTATTTCTTTCTATAGCCAACGTATATCGGTATAACGTCTCTTACGCCTCGTCTCAAAGGTTGCCAATAGAAGTACGCTGCTACATTTGAGTTTTGAGCCTAAAAAAATTGTTAAATATAGTACTTATACATATCGTTACAACCGTTGCAAATTGAAAATATAATGTACTTACTATATCGCGACCTTTTTTACTTTCGTAATTCGTATAAAATTTGAAACCATCGTTACCATAATGTTTTAGTAATACTGGTCGTATGGACGGAATTCCATCTCTGTAAAAAACGATATTGTAGGAAATATCTTATAGTAGGCAATGCCAAGCGATTTATTTAGTATTACTTAGTAGCCGTGGCAAGAAACATGGTGTTTGGCTCCATAATATTCGGGTTCTTGGAGGCTTCCTCGAACCATGCTTTAAATTGACCAATAGGCTCCTTGCTAACAAGTTGGTCCTCCGTAAAAGTTTCGTCTTTGCCTTTGTACCTAATTCGCATATCTACAAGAAGTAAGTAATTAGATATTTAGAAGTTTTCCTTCAACTTCGATTTCGATGATTTTTTAATGCGTTGTAAAATTCAACGTTTTGAATTTTTCCTTTTTCCTATATAACTGTAGATTAGCTTTAGTTTCGTTTAGAGATATTCACGAAAGTTATCAGCATTATTATAGCGAATTCTGCCTATAATTATACGTCTGTGGTAGCGTTCGCGTCAGTATTGGTTCTCGGTGACCTTGTAGTGGAGGTATAATGATACAATCGAAACCGAACTTTCATGTTTTGTTCGAAGTATACTTAAACGAGAATCGGGCGAGCATATACGAGACTGTAAGAAATGTCTACTATATTTTATAATTCAACTAAAAATGAATAACATTGATGTATTGCGTTTGGGTTTGGGCTAATATTTTTAATCTGGTTGTCGCAAAGTGGCCGGCTACGCTTGTGTGAAATAAAAAAAATTTATTCTTTTTGTAAAATAATAATATCAATGATAAGATAATATCAGATGTGCATGAGGTGTTTAAATTCGCCTGATCTTTGTAGACATAATTCGTAGAATTCACTATTGTGTCCGACAGATTTTTACCGAAAACTGTCAAAACTACTGAACTTCAAAATACTGATTTCTACAATATATTCAAAAATTATTGATATCGATGAGGAGGGCATTGTAAATAATTAACCAAAAAATGTTTGCTTTAGAATCGTGAAAGGCTTTCGCTTAAAAGTTACGTAAATGGTGATAAAAAGAAATTCTCTTTTATAATATTAGTAATTACAAAAAATAAAGTTGTACCTCCGATGTCAACACCGAACTTCGCATCTGCAGTAAGCTTTGAAGATGACATGGTGCTGATGCTACTTAGAGACACTTCACACGCCACGTGTTGGAAAAATGTAAACTTAACAATAACAGATTATGAATAAGTATAACATCGAACAATCTTATCAATCCGTGGAAAATATACATATCAGAGAAGTAACAGAGCTCATATCCATTGTCCTTGTTCTTCCATAGTACAGCGCTGTCCCTAGCGGTCTACTACTGAAGTTCCTATTTATTGGGTTGGCAACTAAGTGATTGCGAATTTTGTCATTAGGTGGCGTTGACAACCAAATAG